AACAGAAAGCGCAAGCCCAACAGCAATATCAACTCCCAAACATTTCATTTAGTTTCCTACTTTAAGCGTGAATAATATCGTCCCGTGAATGGTATCTATGTCGTGTGGGTTATCGAAAACTGCATCAGTCTTTGTTCTGCTGATCGTCAGATAGTAAGCCAATTTTGCAGATTAGTTACTTTCCTCTTCAATATGTTAATTGCTCACACGTTGCTGATTTATTCATGAGCATTTTGCGCTCGAACATTTGATATTTCGCTTCAGTGATTCTGGGGCCGTGCACCCCCACCGCATTTTCATGCGAAAGTACGACATTCAATCCCTGACCACCCCTCAACAATTTGATCTACAACTTTGTCAATCGGCGACACATGTTTGCCCCCAAAGTGTTTGTGGGAAGTAAACCGAGAAGTCGTAATAATGATAAAGCTACAAAATCAATGGACTAATAAAATAATAGAATAAACATTCAATAATTACAGGAGTGATTAAAATATTAAATAAAAAGCATCAACTGTTGCCATCAACGACATGAAGTGTCATATAACGTCCCGCGTCAAATATCGTCTCATCATGGAGTTTGTTTGAATATTCTTCGCAATGGTATCAGTTTCGCGGTTCGATCTCTTCAAAAAGACGCTTTCTTTTCGTTGGTGTTGCACCGATTAAGTAATCATTTTTTGGGGATTTTGGATATAATATGAAATCCGTTCCAAAAACTTTGACCCGGTTGTAGTATCTATCACACGCTCATCGATGCTAAGCTTTGCGCTAACAATTTGAGACGCCTTTACGTTTTCTGATTCAACAGACTTTATCACCTGGGGTGCTTTCGGTAAAGTTCCTGTGAGGTAATCAATAATGTCTATGGAAGAGCTATTTTGCGATTCGACATGTGAAGACTTGTGTGACAAGTCATCAATGTCATCCGTCGCAGTCCGTCTGGTTACGCCTCCTATTGCAAGAATGCACGTACGCGGAGGATCGACTATTGCAGTAAAGTCGTCCACATCGGGATTGGAAATTCTGAAATAATTT